TGAGAACTCCTTTTTCTGTACTAATAAAATGTGAGTTCAGGGCCACGAGATTAAATTTTAGATGCATTTTTGATAAGAGACGTGACCTTGGGCAGGTCAGTTCAACTCTATGGAGCCTAGTTCCCTGTGAGTTAAGATTGCTGGCTTAGTTCTTCAAATCCATTTGAGTCCAGTAACGTGAAACAGTGGCCACTGGGCAGTGCTTTGGCATGATAATAAAAGTGAACTTGGAGAATGGGACATAAACCCCCAGCTGACATGCAGATTGAGTTCATTTACACCATGCTGACTATGAAGAGGACATTGCCAAACTCATTTTGAGACTCATTACACAGAACGCCGCGTGACCCAGCATGCAGGCCTTGGGGGCACCGAGGGCATTTCGCAAAAGCAATACATTAAATTATGTGTAAAGTAAGAAAAAGATTTCCCTTTAAAAATTCAGAGTCATTATTTGAAAGGCAGTTAATGAACTTGACTTTCCTGGCCTGGCACAAGGCTCCGACAGGCTCAGCATAATTGAAGGTGCCAGTGTGAGTCGGGTGGGAGGCAGCTGGGGTAAAAGGAAGGCTTGAGAATTTCTCTCTGCAACTTCTGTTCACATTACATCAGGGACATAGGAGACCAAAAAAAAAAAAAAAAGAAAATTTAAAAACCAAACGGGATTTGAAAATTATTGTATGAAGTCATGGTTTCTCTTCTTATAAAACTCTTCCTGGCACCTTGCAGTACAAATGATTGGTCAGTTTCCTAAGGTCCCATAGCCCAGTGGGTCTCATGCTTGGCTACAAATTAGGATCACCTAGGAAGTTTTTAAAAGCCCTGATGCCAGCAAGGAAGCACAAATAAGGACATCACAGTCTTTGGAGGGGGCGGGGGTGTCCATCAGTATTTTTTTTTTTAAAGCTCTCCAGGTGATTCCAATAGGTTACCAAGTGGGGGGGAGGGGGAGTCCCCAGACCAGCAGCATGAGCAGCACCTGTGAATTTGGAAATGCGAATTCTCAGGCTCCACCCCTACCCTTCTGGATTCAGAAACTCGGAATGGAGCCCAGCACTCTGCATTTTCAGGTGATTTTTTTTTTTAACATCTTTTAAATTTTTTTTTTTTCAACGTTTATTTATTTTTGGGACAGAGAGAGACAGAGCATGAATGGGGGAGGGGCAGAGAGAGAGGGAGACACAGAATCGGAAACAGGCTCCAGGCTCTGAGCCATCAGCCCAGAGCCTGACGCGGGGCTCGAACTCACGGACCGCGAGATCGTGACCTGGCTGAAGTCGGACGCTTAACCGACTGCGCCACCCAGGCGCCCCTTTTAACATCTTTTAAATGTTTATTTTATTTTTGAGAGAGAGAGAGTGTGTGCACAAGTGGGGGAGGGACAGAGAGAGGAAGACAGAGGATCCAAAGAGGGCTGAGCTGTCAGCGCAGAGCCTGATGTGGGGCTCAAACTCACGAACTGTGAGATCATGACCTGAGCCGAAGTTGGACACTCAACTGACTGAGCCACCCAGGCACCCCAAGAAGGTGATTCTAAAGCATGTTAAAGTTTGAGCACCCCTACTTTGGAGTGAGGCCTGGTGGGCTTTCCACTTTCTCCAGCCACGGAAAAGTCCGTCTGGTTTTAAGCAATAGGTCTTCTCAGTAATCCCACCCATATGAATTAGTTCCAAAAGTTGCTCTGAGGTTGACTTGCTGCGTGGAACTATGAGTTCTAAACCACTTAACTTCTGCTGGTGGTCTACCATGATTCCAATCTCGCATGGTCGTGAAGCAGTAGGGATGCTCTAACAGTAATTAGCAGCGGGATTCCTTGCCAACTGTGGTCATTCCGTGTTTTTAGAAAAAAAAAATTGCATTATCAGCTCAAGGCCTGTGTACCTTCCCGGGGCAGGGTTCTATGCATTCATAAGTGGTTTGAGGTCATTTAAAAAGAAAATGTTGGACATCTTGTTTGGAAATCTTAGCTGCCCAGAGCCTCTTGTCTTGAGTAATTTTCAGCAGACCAGCAGCTCTGGGTCTAAGCTTCGAAGAAAAAAAAAAAAATGTTACCAAATGATTCCTGTCTACTGCCGTGGCTAGAATGGGGGGAAATGCTGGCTTGGGATAAGAATCAGAGGCTGGGAGTCTCTGGAGCCTGCTTACCCCCTCCCAGATCTCAGGGCACAGACTCAAAAGCCCCAGAGGTGTCAGGAGAGCCCACAAACACGTTTGTGCCTTATTCATGAGCGTCTTCTCCACAAAGTAAAGGGCGCCACCACGGTCGGCCATGGAAGAGCCAGACCTAAAACCCCCGACCTCCAAATCCCTGGGCTGCTATTTCTGAATGAGCAGGAAAAAACCAAGGCACTCACACCCGGGACCCTGAGCGCACACGGCTGTGTGCCCCTCTACTTACTGGGTTAGTGATCCCACAGCTGCAAATGTCAATGATGTTTCTCCCTGGTCCCGAAGGGAAAAAGACGGAGCAGGCCTAAGGAACCTGGCCAGGGTCGTGTGGCCAGATAGCAGCAGGGCCAGAATCCAAACCCGGAGTGGAGGCGTAATTCCAACGTCTGATCACTTTCTCCTCCGGCACTCATGCTCCTTGAGCCCGTGGGACCAAAGGGACTTAGCTAACGGTCTGAAGGCAGCTCAGGGGCATTCGTTAATTAGATACGCAGGTTACGGTTACGAAGAATCAGGGCCCACCTGTCAAGAGGTATTAAGAAGTTCATGGACAGCTCCCAAGCTGCTGTGTGCCAGGCACCAGGCCAGGAGGCTGCAGGGGACAAGGTGGGGGACAGAGATGATGACCATGGGTCAATCAGCAGGGAGCACACAGCCTTCAAGGGCATGGCGTGCATCAGAGAAGGTTGAGCTGGATTAAGAAGCATGACCAGGCATCACTTCGGAGCTTCATGGGCCAAGAAGGAGGATGCCTAGGCTGGAGATGTCCAAAGAGGTGATGATGTGTACAGGGCTTGGCCAGAGCATGGGGTCTGGGCAAGAGACAACAGCGGAGCAAGAGAAGGGGGCAGGAGCCCTTGCATTTGGGCTCTATATGCTGAAAATGGAGTGTTTCGCCCCGAAGGTCAGAAGGAGCTCAGGGGGGCCTTTGAGCCGGAACGACAGGTTCTGGGGTGGGTACACGGCCACTCGGCTCACTGAGGCACGGAGCAGGAGGCATGAGGGAGGTGGAGGGCCGTGGGGATGGCCGAAGGTAAATAAATCCCTGGCAGGTCGTTCGTTGGACACCCAGCTCTGGTGCCCAGAAGGGCAGCTGGGGTCATGGCCACACGGGTGAACCAGAAGGGGCAGGTGTAACCACACAGGGGGTGGGCAGAGTGAGAAGAAAGGAGGGCCAACTAAAGAATTCTGGGGCGCACTGACAGGCCAGGCATCGGTGGAGGGAGAGGGGCCTAGGTGCCTCTAGGTGAGGCATCGTCCCCTAGGGCCGGGCTCAGAAGTTTTGAAATTAAGCCAATCCTAAAAAGGAGCTCTAGGTTGACCAGTGTCCTAAGCAAGACGATATGTGATATCGCAGTCCCCCTCGTAGGTGGGAGAGGCGGAGCCCCCACCCCCATCCCCCACCTTGTACATTGGAATTTCTCTTTCCACAGTGTTTCTGACCAGAAACTGTGTACGAATGAAACCTGTTCAGTTTACCAGTGACCGTAAGGTGCGGTGTCTGAACGCGTGAACCCCCTGACAGAATCCCAGAGCTACTTGGCAAAAGCCTTCACAAGCCCCAGGCCTGTTACACGGGTTTGCGGGGATAGTGACATCCAGATTAAAATGAGGGGGAAACTGTCCCTTCCTGCGTGGCCGGTGCCAGTCACCCGGCAGAGGGCAGCGGGCAGGGAGGGGGCAAACACAGCACAGGGTGGAACACTGGCCCCCGAGAGGGGAGTTCTAGGTCAGGTTTTCCATCCAGAGGCAGGCTTTCCATCCACATGCTGTTCCATGCTGGAACAGACCACCCCTTGCCCGTTACCCTCCTAGGACGTCTGAGAGCACAGCAGTCTGACTAGCACGAATCACCAGGCACCAGATATACGAAATGTGGGCTTTTTCCAGGTCCATAGGAGGACAAGGGTATTTGTTTGTTTCCCCTTTGCCTATGCAGTTAGAGGCCACAGCAGCATCCAGTTCTGGGGGAGCAGGCACAGAAAAGAAGTAGGTGTGGGCCATGGGTACCGTGCAACCATCGGAAGTAAAGGAGTGCAGACACGCCTCACCACCGGAGTGGCCATAAAGTCATGGTGGGGAGAGGAAGAGGAAGGAGGGGCAGCTATGTACCCCAACAGCACATCTGTATGTCTTCGGCCGGGGATGCCGTAACAAAATCCCACAGACGGGGGGCTGAAACTACAGACACACATTTTCTCACAGCTTGAGAGGCTGTAAGTCCAAGGTCGAGGTTCCGGAAGGGTTTGGTTCCTTGTGTGAGCTCTCTTCCTAGCTTGTAGCCAGCTGCCCTCTCCTAGGGTCCTCATGTGGTTCGAGAGAGATTTCTCTCTCTTATTATAAGGCTATAGTCCTATCAGGTTAGGGCCCCACCCGTATGACCTCATTTAACCTTGATTACCTCCTGCAGACCCCGTCGCCTGGTGCAGTCACGGTTGGGGGTTAGGGCTTCCACACGTGAACTGGGAGACACAATTCGGTCCACAGCACATAACCTCAAATACGCACACGCTACCCAACGTGTAGAGTGGAGGAAGCCCCCCGGTGGTCGCCTCGGAGGGGGGTGGGGGTGGTGAGTGGAAATAAGACGGAATCAAGTGACCAACTGATCAAGCGAGAGAAGGGTGTGTGCAGATTCAAGGAGGCACATGCCATGGACTGAGGGGTACGTTGGGGCGCCCGTCTCCCCTGAGATTTCGAAAACCGCGCGCGCATGTGTGCGCGTGTGTGGGTTCGGGCCGGCACATGCTTGCTGATTTCACACTGCACTTTTCTCTTAGAAAGTTTTCTCGGGAAGTCGGAGCTCCCGCAGTGGAAACTCGAAGCCCAGCATGATTCTGTCCAACACCACGGCCACGACGCCCTTTCTGAACGCGCTGTGGCAGGGGACGGCTCACCAGGGCGGCAACACGTCAGGCCTGGCCCGCAGGTCGCCTGGCGGTGACGACAGCCAGCTGGAGGCACTCTATATCCTCATGGTGCTCGGCTTCTTCGGCTTCTTCACCCTGGGCATCATGCTGAGTTACATCCGCTCCAAGAAGCTGGAGCACTCCCACGACCCGTTCAACGTGTACATCGAGTCCGACACGTGGCAGGAGAAGGACAAGGCGTACCTCCAGGCCCGGGTTCTGGAGAGCTACAAGGCATGTTACGTCATTGAAAACCAGCTGGCCGTAGAGCGGCCCAACGCACACCTTCCCGAGATAAAACCTCTGTCATGACCCCGCACTTGGCTAAGACTGGACAGATCCCATTTGACAATCTGATCTTTCTAATCATGTACCTTTTATATTCTTTATCGGAAGGATGTAATTGGCGTTTTTTTTTGCTGTTGTAAAGGGTGGATTCGTAACACCATTTCTCTAAAATCACATTCCTTCTGTAGGGGACCTCCAGCTATTCCCCAGTGCCTGACCCTGCCTTGTTAGTTTTAGCAGAATCCCTAAGATCATGGCCTCTGAGATACTTCCCAGACTCCCTTGCAGCGAGCAAGGTCACGGGATGAAGTTCTGGCCAGTAGAAGTGGGAGGGGTTCTAGAAAAGGAAGGGGTGTGTCGTCCACTCCCCTCCCCCTCTTCCCAGTGGCTGGGACGTGGAAGAGGTAGCGAACCAGCTTTGACTCTGTCCAGAAGGACACCATTGGGCGCCTGGGTGGCTCAGTCGGTTAAGCATCCAGCTTCAGCTCAGCTCTCGATCTCACTGTTCGCTGGTTCAAGCCCTGCGTCGGGCTCTGTGCTGACAGCTCAGAGCCTGGAACCTGCTTCGGATACTGTGTCTCCCTCCCTCTCTGCTCCTCCCCTGCTCACTCTGTCTGTCTTTCTCTCTAAAATAAGCATTAAAAAAAAAATTTTTTTTTTTTTTTTTAAAGAAAAGGACAGTGTCCTCGCAGGTGACAGAGCAGTAAGAGTCTGGGTCGCTGGGCAACGTCATGGGGCAGTGTCTCTCTACCTTCCTGGTCACCCACCGCCAGCTCAGTCATTATAGGAAAGACAAACTAACTCTGGCCTTGCTTGGGCCACTGCTATTTTGGTTCCTGTTAAAGTAACAGAGTCAATATCCTAATATCCTATTTTATGGGGCTGAGACCAAAGGCGTAATATTCCCGTATTTGTCACAAGCTGGCCGCCTGCCCTTGTTAGGACAAAACCACTCTGCCCTTATCCTCTGCCTTCACCAGGGAGGCTCTGGCCTCCTCCTCGTTCCTCCTCCTGCACCTCCCTTACCCCTACCCTTCACACATACCCCCCCCAAACACACACACACACTCACACCCACGGAGGCACACGCGTACACACAGAGAAGCTCTCCCCCTCCCCCAACGCGGACACTTCCTACTCTCCTATCCCCATCTCAGAGGAGCTCACGTCCTCCAGGACTGAGATGCCGGAGAAAAAATTTCCACTCCCAAATGTGTACCAAGGGGAAGGTGCTCAGTTATCACGGCCGGAGGGAGAGACGCATCCGCCAACCCCAGAACCCAGGAGAAGGCGTGGGCTTGGGCAAGTGGCACCACCTGGGGTCAAGGCGGCGGGGCCTTTTGAGGTTGAATTGTGTGCTCCCCCCTCAAAAGACGTGTTCAAATCCTAACCCTGGTACCTGTGAATGTGACCCGACTTGGAAATAGGGTCTTTGCAGATGCCACCAGGTTAAGATAAGGTCCCTGGGGTGGGCCGACGTCCGATATGACCGATGTTCTCAGAAGATGTGGGCAATTAGGTCACGGCCACATGGGGAGAAGCCTCGTCAAGACAAGCAGAGACTGAGTATCAGCGGGGAGCCAAGGAGTGCCGGGGAGAGGCCAGGAGGGGCTCTCCCCTACCGGTTTCATGGAAGCTTGGCCCCACATGCACCATGATTTCAGACTTCTGGCCTCCAGACCTGTGGGACCAGGAGTTTGTTAGGTTTCATTTGGGCTCTGTCAGGGCAGCCACGGGAACTCGGGCAGTGCCTTTTCCCCCACCCCTAGACAGCAGCTTTCTTCTCCTCGCCTCCTGACAGGACAGAAGATTCTCTGGGAATCTTCCCTCACAGATGAGAGAGTGGGAAAGGGATTGCGGTGGAGGTGGATGGTGCCGGGGCCATTCATTGCTCAGGGCAGTAGAAGAAAGCCCCCTTGGCGTTACCTGACCTTCGAGAATCCCAGAGAACGACTGCCTTGGTTTCAGCCTGCGTCTCCAGCGGTCGCCATAGCACGCTGCGACACGCTGAATGCTTGCCCACTCCTGGAAAAGGGTGGACTGTTGAAATAAAACATCATCGGTGGAAACCTGCACACAGTGTACATTAGAAGCAACACATCAGCATTGTTGGCCGTCCTCAGTGGACAAATGGGGCCTCGTCCACTGCCGCCCTTGCTTGGTGGGATAGACCATGATGCTTCCACGCGAGCTTGGAGGCAGGGGTTAGGACATCTCTGACCAGAACCCTGGCGTGGACTCCTAGTCTCCGCGATGTGAGTGGCTCTTTGGGACAGAATCCTTTGAAAGCCTAATGAAAGCTATGACTCCCTGTCACCCCGTTCCCGAAAAATGCACATGGACGCATTTTGCCCAACATCGCGGGGGCTCATGGGCTTCTGGAGGCCCTCTCACAACTGGGGGCGCCTAATGAACCCTGAGTGGGTTACCAGCTTCCGACAGACACAGATTGCCGGCAGGGAAGGCAGGCAGGCCGGGAGTGCACCTTTGGAGGGGGACCCAGAGGGCACTCTGACCCGCGATGTGATCAGAGCCGGCGTAGCAACTGGAACCCCAGGCACACAGCTGGTGCTTAGCACCAGTCCACTGACCCCCCAACTGGGATTCCTGTGACTTTTAAGGTAGAGGGAGATCCCATGATCCTCAGTGCTCCCGGGCCTCGAGGGACCCGGTGTTCAGCACCCTCAGTGCTCCCGGGCCTCGAGGGACCCGGTGTTCAGCACCCTCCTCCACGCCCCTCAAACCTTTTATAAGCCACACATTTTCAAAGGCTTGTTATCATATTTCCCCCCCTTTGTTGTTACATTTAAATTTTAGCTAACATACAGTGCAATATTGGTTTCAGGAGTAGAATTCAGTGGCTCATCACTTCCATACAACACCCAGTGCTCATCACAAGTGTCCTCCTTAGTCCCCATCCTCCAGCCAGCCCATCCCCCACCCACTTCCCTCCAGCAACCCATAGTTTGTTCTCCATCGTTAAGAGTCTCTTGTGGTTTGTTTCCCTCTCTTCTCCGCCCCCCACTCCTTCCCCATGTTTGTTAACATGCATAGAGCACTTGCCATGTCGGTTACTGTTCTGAGCTCTTTAGAAATGGGATCCCAGGGGCACCTGGGTGGCTCAGGCAGCTAAGCGTCCAACTTTGGCTCCGGTCATAATCCTGCGGTCTATGAGTTCAAGCCCCACGTTGGACTCTGTGCTGACAGCTCAGAGCCTGGAGCCTGCTTCCGATTCTGTGTCTCCCTCTTTCTCTGCCCCTCCCCCACTTGTGTGCGCGTGCGCGCGCGCGCTCTCTCTCCAAAATAAATAAACATTAAAAAAATTTAAGAAAGAAAGAAAGAAATGAAATCCCAGTACTTTATATGCAATATTGTATGTGTTCCCTGGCTAGGACAACATGCCTTAAAGGAATTAACAATTTCTTTTTAAAAATCAGTCTTTCGGGGCGCCTGGATGGCTCCGTTGGTTAAGCGTCCATCAAAGCCCTACATATGCCTCTGCACTGACAGCACAGAACCTGCTTGGGATTCTCGCTCTAAATAAATAAATAAATAAACTTCAAAAAACCCTAGTCTTTCATCATGATCTGTAGTGTGTGTTTTCTTAAGTTCATTATGACACTGTAGGAAGTGGATGTGGGTTCTTGGGGGGCTGTGATGAGGCAGCCCCAGGGGCTCGGGACTGAGGAAGTACGATTGCCTGTGGATAGTTAAGCTCCGCCGGGAACCCCCGATGCGATGCCTGCAGATAGAAAGCAAAGGGGGCAAGCCAGCCATCCGGGAGTGCGGACGCAGTCTTGATGGCCTCGTGGGGTTTTAGGAGAAGCTGGAGAGGTGGACATTTATGTGGAATCTCTTGATTTTTTATTTATTTATTTAAAAAAAAATTTTTTTTTCAATGTTTATTTATTTTTGGGACAGAGAGAGACAGAGCATGAACGGGGGAGGGGCAGAGAGAGAGGGAGACACAGAATCGGAAACAGGCTCCAGGCTCTGAGCCATCAGCCCAGAGCCCGACGCGGGGCTCGAACTCACGGACCGCGAGATCGTGACCTGGCTGAAGTCGGACGCTTAACCGACTGCGCCACCCAGGCGCCCCGAGGAATCTCTTGATTTTTAAATATTGGCACCTAATTCCACTTAAAAAAAAAAATGTGTAAGCCAAACAGAAAATGACTTTGAGTTGAATTCTACCCAAAGACCACTGATTTACAACGTCCGCTTTAAAGAGAAAAAATAGCTGCCAGCAGCCCCAGGCCACACTTGATAGAAAGCAGGGTCCGGGAGGGGCGCCTGCTTCTGAAAGGCTGGTGGCCTGGACCTGGTGAGAGAAGGAGGCGGAATCCCTGGAATCACCGGCCACTGAACCCGTAGTCCCAGCCCCGTGGTGAGCCCCTGCCCCCGGCTGTCTCCCTCTGGCGCCATGGGGGCATCCATTCATCAGACTCTCCCATTCAGATGTCAGGCCCTCACTCTGTCACTCTGTCACTGTGTCACTCTGTCACCGTACTTTACAACTCTGATGTTGCTCTCAGACTCTTGGAGCTGGTTGTGGGGATCCAGCCTGCGGAGGTGGCCCCACTCCATATGCAGACAAATCAGGCTTATGAGCCTTTTACAAGACAGGGCTGACCATGTTTGGGGGGGGGTGGAGGGGGCGGGGAGGGTGGGGGTGGGTGGGGAAGGAGCCAAATGAGGAATGCCATTTCCACCTAGTCTCTTCTGGAGCCACCTGGCCTGGCTGGGCGAATAGCTTTAAAACTTCTCCAGTGTTGACAGGCCGTGTGCAATTCATTGGACTGTGGTCCCTTGAAGAGTTAGCTCCAAGAAGGTCAGCTAGACCTCAGGGAGGTTCAAGGACACACCCAAGGTCATTGGTTGCTTAGAGGAGGAAGCCGGCAGGAGCTCTGTGTCCCTCCTCCAGCTGCTTTACCAGGCCAAGGGCTCCTAGAGGCCTTGAGGTGGGAAAGATAATCGCCGCGGTGGGGAAGGTGGGGACTGTGAATTTACTGATTTTATTCTTC